GCCAACAACACACTCCTTAACAAATAACTACCCGTGCTGCTATCAATCAGGCTGCTTAGCTTGCGCACATGACGACCGCCATAACTACAGCTGCAGCACATAATCCACCATTGCGATTTTTTTCGGCTGCTGCTGATTGGCTCTGCCACGTGCTGAACGCCTTTTGCGCACTCATCGCTTGTTGCGGCACTCCAACGGGCGTACTCTTTTCAGCAACCATCTTTGTAAGGCTAGCTGCTGTACGAGTGAGCGAGAGCGCAAAGGCGGCAATGCATGTTAGCTGCGCTCACACGCAAAAGGGCGCATGCTATGTACTGTTCTAACATTTAGGTTTGTTTTTGGTGCTCACATTTTTTGTTGCGCCTTTGCGTATTTGCCTCTCGCACATTACGGAGTATCTCTTGTTTGGTTGTTGATGTTTTTTTGCTTTTCTTGCTTTATTTCTTGTTTCGGCTGACAAACAGCTTGCACCAATTTTCTCTTTGTGTGGAAGGAAACTTGTTTGGCTGGCTTTGTTTGCTGCCCGGCGTCAGCGGCATCGCCGCCTACGGATTAACTCTGCTGCCACAATCATCGTCGGCGGCCCATTGTCGTTAGCGGGATCTCCACTTACTCACTTGGTTAGTTAAGATTTGATTGTCGAGTTTAACTGTCGACAAACAAGACACGACGACACGAATGGCACGACATTTACAGTGGTTTTACATAGATATGTACATATGTATCTACAAGAGCGAGTGCTTGCTGTACCAAGGAGAGCGACTAGTGGCGAAGAGAGTGTTGGGCTAAAAATCAGAATGAAACCAATTGAAATACAGGCAAAGTGCTAGCACTCATACAACGAAAGCCGCCACCACCACTATTGCAGTTCAAATCTCGTCATGTATTTTGTGTATTGTGGAAAATAAGAAGAACAACAACAACGCGCTAATTGCATATGTATGTACCTACATATCCACATATCTGAAAGCAGGGAGAGTCGGCAAAAAACTCGAAAATCANCCAATTGCAGTTCAAATCTCGTCATGTATTTTGTGTATTGTGGAAAATAAGAAGAACAACAACAACGCGCTAATTGCTTATGTATGTACCTATATATCCACATATCTGAAAGCAGGGAGAGTCGGCAAAAAACTCGAAAATCAACTTGTCTAGTTAGCAAACTTCAATCTAGTTTCGAACAGTTGCCTGCGAAACGTCGAGTGGAGAGGTTGGCCCGATTGGATGTTAGTGCGCAGTGTCGGCCGTCAAAGAGTCAGTCAGTCGTACATTAAAATTAATTGTTAACAAGCAAACTAGAAAAACAATAACAGCAAACATATACTGCAATGAGAAGTAGTGCAAAGTGAAGAGTGAAGGCGCATGCATGCAACAAAAATATACATACATACAAACATAGCGGCGCATACATATACATATGAGAATGCAGACGATTTGATTGAGTAAAGTGAAATGTTGAGTTGTGCGCAAGAAGCANGTACATACATATACATATGAGAATACAGACGATTTGATTGAGTAAAGTGAAATGTTGAGTTGTGCGCAAGAAGCACCAACAAAAAAAATAAAATAAATAAATGAGGCGGCTAATCAGAGAGAATCTTAAGGAGAATCAACGTTTGTTAGAGGTTTGTTGCAGCGCGACTTGACTCGTACGACTAACTGATTTGTAATTTGATTGATTTCAATTTTTGTGTCGGCTGTCCGCTGTCAGTTCTCAGCTAACTGCAAACGTGTTTAGATGTCGGGAAACTAGTTGCTGCGTACGTGCGCTCATTAATCGAATGCAACATTGAACAAAAAAAAAAATAGAATACATTTTTGAAAATAAAATTAACTGTAAAGTACCAGGCATAACAACGATACACAACAGAGTGAATTAAATAATTTGCAAAGTGTTGCCTGAAATAAACTAATATCTAACTTTAAAATAAAATATACCTACTGTGAACAAATTTTCGAGCTCGAAAAAATTATATCGGAAACTGTGCACACCACTCTCGCCCTCTAGTTCCTTGCTTTTGGTGTGTTTTTATCCGTCGGCTTTAGTAGACCAACGCCCATCGAGCATCTTCATACACCACGTACGCTTATCGTAACATGCTTTGTCCGCTCACCANATCAGTTCTCAGCTAACTGCAAACGTGTTTAGATGTCGGGAAACTAGTTGCTCCGTACGTGCGCTCATTAATCGAATGCAACATTGAACAAAAAAAAAAAATAAAATAGAATAAATTTTTGAAAATAAAATTAACTGTAAAGTACCAGGCATAACAACGATACACAAGAAAGTGATTTAAATAATTTGCAAAGTGTTGCCTGAAATAAACTAATATCTAACTTTAAAATAAAATATACCTACTGTGAACAAATTTTCGAGTTCGAAAAAATTATATCGGAAACTGTGCACACCACGCTCGCCCTCTAGTTCCTCGCTTTTGGTGTGTTTTTATCCGTCGGCTTTAGTAGACCAACGCCCATCGAGTATCTTCATACACCACGTACGCTTATCGTAACATGCTTTGTCCGCTCACCATGCGTCCTGCTAGCCCTGCTGAATCAGAAATCTCCGTCGGTGGCGCACCCAGCCCATTGCCCCACCACCAAAGCCAGCACCACCATCAACCATCTCATGCACAGCCGTCACAACACCGCAGCACCATCGATCTGCTGCAGCATCAACAAATGCTCATGCAACAACATGCAGCCGCCGCCGCAGCAGCAGCCGCTGCAGGTTTGACACGCACCGGCGCCGAGGAGTATTTCCAACCACTGAAACGCCTGCGTATGTCCAGCAGCGAAATGGAGGAGTCGTCAACGGCGAATCGCACACCAAGTCCGCTGCAAACGCACAGCACTACACTACCGCCACCCGCACCAACGTCCGCGACCACAGCAACAGCGAATGCCGCCGCGACAGGCACCGCTGTTAAATCGAATATTGAGGGTGTCAAAAGCTTTACCATTGCTGATATTTTGGGTCATGAGAAGCGCGCCACGTCCACTTCGCCACCCTCACAGCTGGCAGCGGCGACGGCACAGCAGCAGCATGCCGCGACTACACCCACACGCCCGTTGTTGGGCGCCAGCGGTCTGTTGCAACCACGCACCGAGCCGCTGGATATGGTAAGCGCTGCTGCAGCGGCTGCCGCTGGCATGCCACATCATATGCTTTTGCCGGGTGCGCAAATTGTACGCCCCTGGGATCATTTGTTGGGCCCGATGCCAGTGCGTCCCTTTATACCCTCAGCACTGTTGCACTATGAACAGCGCTTGGCGCTGGACTATCATCGGCAATTGCAGGAGCATTTTAATGCCCAAGCGCAGCTGTTGCGTCACATGGGCATGGATATGATACCGTCTGAAAGTGGTTCGGAGCGCTCCAGTTCGGCGGCTAGCGATTGTTGTTCGCCGGAAATTGCCCGCTCGTCGGGGGAGCCATCGACCGGGGCGGCGCAATCGGCGACGGGTGAGCGCGATCGGGAACGCATTTCACATACCTCAACTTCAGGTAATGGCGGGGGCAATAATATGGGAAGCAATAGTTCGGGCTGCGGCAGTGGTGCAAATAACGATAATGCGGCGAACAATGGCTCGAATTCGAAAGGCAAGCCAAATGGAACGCCCTTGGATGCGCTCTTTCAGATGACAACAAAAGACTTTGATGAAGCACAAGGTGAGTCATCTTTTTTATGAACATATTTTTCAGGACAGAATTATGTATACATAAAGGCAGTGTAGGGATTGTCGTTGCACAGTAGGCGTCGTAGCCCCTCTTTCTGGGCAAAAATTAATTTTTTGCTGTGGCCATGTATGAAATAATCTAATCCAGCAAACATTATTTAGGAACGAATAGAAAATGATTCGAATTCTAATGTGTTTCTCTAAGGTAGTAAGTTAGAAGACAATTCAAGAGAGTCGAGCATTACTGTATTCTCTACGAAAAGGGGACTAAGTTCTCAATATCGTGGAAAAGGTTAGATATCTAAACGCATTGTAACGTTGAATTCCAATTGTTTTCTTATGTCTAGTGTTTTCAT